AAAAGAATAAAAGATAAATAAAAAAACATATTCTAACCGCTAGTTCCTCTTCCCGCCACCAGGAGAAAGTCAATACAGAAAAAAGCAAAGGGAACAAAAACAACTAAAAAAAATGGAAATAAAAAATAAAAGATAAATAAAAAACATATTACCTAAACCGCTAGTTCCTCTTCCCGCCACTCAGGGAGAAGTCAATAAACAAAAAGCAAAAAAAACCAAAAAATAATAAATAAATAAATAAAAAAGAATAAAAATGAAATAAAAAACATATTTCTAAAACCGCTAGTTGCTCTTCCCCGCCACCAGGGCTCGGCTTACATGGCGGAGGGCTGGACGTACCCGCTCTGTGCCCGCGCGGAGACTCCCTTCACCCACCGCCACAGGTCACGGATCAGGTCACGGCAGCAGCGCGGGTCAAGATGCTGTCGTCGGGTCCTCACGCCTCGAGAATCGTGCGGAAATACAGGAGGACGCGGCTTCAGCAGGTCAAGAGGCAAGAGTACAAGAAGCTGAGGAACATGGTGCCGGCGCTGCAGGAGAAGAATCGGGTGTCGAAGGTGGGTGAGGAGGTGGAGGGAGGGGGTGAGGGAGTGGGTGGGTTGGGGTTGGGGTGTTGGGGTGGGAAGGTGAGGGAGGCGGGTGGGTGAAAGAGTGGTGGGGTTAGGGAGGGGGATGGGGTGGGTGTGGGTTTGGGGGAACTTGGGGGGGGTTGGGGAGGTGAGGGAGGGAGGGGGATAGGCTGGGTGAGGGAAAAAGGTGGGGTGGGTGAGGGAGGAAGGTGGGTGGGCAGGTGGGGAGGGGAGGAATGGGTTGAGGTTGGTGGGACGGGTGGGTGAAAGAGTGGGTTGGCCTGGGTGGGTGGAGTAAGTGTTGACGAGAACGGATGAAGTGGGTGAGGCGAGTAGGTGGATTGAGTGGATGAAGGAATGAATGAGTTGATGGACGGATGAGTGAGTGAGGGAGGTGGACGGGTGAATGGACAGCTGGGTGGATGGGTTGGATGGGTAGGTGTTTAATGGGTAGAACGAGTGGATGATCGAATAGCTAGGTGGATGAGCGGGGTGGGTAAGAGGGCGGGTTCTTTCACGATATTAAATTTCGAAATTCAAGTTTTTTTTCCTTTTTTTTCCTTTCTTTCTTTTCTTTTTTTCTTTCATTTTTCTTTATATTTTTTTCTTTCACTTTTTTTTTTCTTTTTTTCTTTCTTTTTTCTTTTTTTTCTTTCATTTTTTTTTTTTTTCTTTTTTGTGTTTTTCTATTTCTTTTCTTTATTTTTTTTGCGTCATCTATCTTTTTCTTTTTTCTTTCTTTATTTTTTTTGCTTCATCTATCTTTTTTTTCTTTTTTTTCTTTCTTTATTTTTTTTCTTTTTCTTTCTTTATTATTTTTATCTGTTTTTTTCTTCTTCTTCTATGCATTTACTTTTATTGCGACATATTGTATATTCCTGGTTCATTTTTTATTTGACTTTTATGGTTCTATTAACAAGGGCCCCGGTTGGATTCTTTATGGGTTTCCCAAATTGAAAGTGAAGTTTCTTTAATAGTTGAATTAGGCATAACCAAATTCCCTTTTTTTTTAATATATTAATTGTTGATCACTTATCATTATTTATTATTATACTTATTAATTATTACTTATTATTCTTTATTTATTATTATTAATATATTATTTTATTATTATTTATATTATTATTATTAATTGGATTCATTCATAGTGTTGAGTGTATGGAATGTGAGAGTGAAGATAGGAAAAAGTTGATTGTGATAGACTGATTAAATCGAATAGGACTTTAGAAATATAAAAGATAAGAGTGGGTTTAGAGTAGAATAAAGGTAGCAATAGATAGTTCATAGACTATATTATAGATACTTAGATAGGTAATAATGAATAGATTTAAAAGATATAGTGGGATATGGAGGGTATAATCTAAAAAGTGGATGAGACGGTTATGAACCATTCGTATTAATAAATAAGGATTAGCATGGACCTTATTGAAGATTTAAGAACAAGATTTTAGATTGATAGGCAGGACAGATAATAGATGAATAGATTAGGCACGATAGATTAGATAGATAGGACAGGACAGATAAGAAGAAGACAGGATATAAGGATAGGATTTAATAATTAAATTGAAGACACAGAGTGAGTTTAACAGATATATAGGGGTAGATTAGACCTGAGAATATAAGAGTCGTAGTATAGTTAGACAAGATCAGATAGGGAGAGACCAAGATAGATTGATATAGTAGCCATAGACCAGACAGGATCAGATAGATAGACATGACAGATAGGATTAGACAGATTAGATAGATAGATATCCAGAAAGCTCCAGTCTCGCATTCCTAGCCTGATTTCCTAAATCCACTTTTCCACTTTCCACTTCATCAGGTGGAGGTGATCCGATGCTGCCAAGCCGATCCAGTTATGACACGGAACCCACTTGGGCATCGCCTCATCAGAGGTTTGGCAGCAGGGGCTTCCGGAGCGACGCTAAGAG